CCGACCATCCGATTTATGTCAGTTGGGAGCACAACGACGGTGGAAATGACGGCGCTAACTTCCAAACTATCAAGTGCGCTATCTCCGGCTCAAAACGGTTGGTCTCCAACCGTGATGGATGAAGTCTAGAGAGCATTGGCACAAAAACCAGAAGGATCAGAAGACCCACTGGACCTCAGCTTTTTGGATTGCGGTGGGTCAGACGCCTCGGATTTGGCTAGCCTCTTGTCAGCAGTAGGAGTACTCTTTTAGGACTCAGCCAGTTTTGAGATCGATACAGTATCCTCAGAATCAATCTGAGTCACTGTACCCTTAGCCTTATCTTTTTTGACTCTCTTAGGCTTTGGCTTGGGTTGAGAGGAAGAAGAGGAAGACTGAATAGTCACTACCCTGGGGATGTCGGTTAGAAGGTCCTCGACGACAGCTGGTTTGCGGCCCATTTCGTCGGCAGTGGCAGCAAGTGTAACTTTGGTGCCTGAGTGAATGGTGGGAAGGGCAATGGGAGGATTGGTCGGATCGTAGGTCAACGCCTCAGAATCTTGTCGTTTGCAGCTACAAGTTCGGCCTGCTAGTACGTTTGGTAGAGCGCGACGTCGGAGTGAATGGTGGGAAGGGTTGCTCTACTAGGTCTAATGAAGAGGCCTAGTCTGGCATTGGCAATGAAGCAACTGTAGGAGTTGTTGCTGATGAGAGAGTCTTGCTTCGGCAAGGGATATCGGATAGTGCGGACTTGTAGGTCGGGATATAATTAAGCAGCAAAGGGGCTTTGCGCTTATTAATATCCAAACCTAAAAGCCTTTTTAGATCGGGGCTAGGGAAAAAGGTCTGCCGAAAATCCTTTGCTAGTTAGAGAAAAGCTGCAAAAAGAAGTGAGAAGAAGAACATTACAAAAAAACAGATATATACTGCCAAATCCTGGCCGAGATATGATTAAAAAGGAAACTTAGCTCTTACCATCACCCTCTTTAAACACTGATTGGCGTAGAGGATAGAGATGAAGGTCGTCGTCAGGTGCAAATTCTCAATTGCATGAGATGATGAAGTAATCATCTCCAGCACCCTTGTTAGAGTTCGGGAGGTCAGCTATTAATTTGTAGGTAGTAGATCTGGGCTTGAGGTAGTATATGTAGCATTTTTCAGACTTAAGGCCACACATGGTATAACAGAATTGGATGTCGGGTAAAGTGATCCTAGCCTATTCTCGGTGAGCTAGCTCAATTGTACCATTGATAACCCGATATGAGTTTATGGCAAGTTGCATGGGGTTAAGTTTGTAAAAATGGAAGATTTCGCGAAAAAGGGTATCTAGAGGGAACCAGAGTCCACAGTCTATGAAAGCAACTACTGGAAAGGGCATGGAGTCCTCATCAGGCATGATGGAGTCCTCCTCCCCAGCCAATCTGAGTTGAACATTGACTGAAATGGAGAACTCTCGACGGAAATACTCTATTTTTTCTAGGATATCCATTCTCCACCTGAACATACCCATAATGTCGGCTAGTGAAAATTGGTGTGAAATTTTGGGAAAGAATGTTTGGAATGGGTTTAAAGACCTCGGCTTAATCCTAATTGGGCACTGGTGCAAGGGTTCTTGAAATCTAAGAGGGTTTTTGTTTCGATTTTCCTAAAGAACAAAGTTTTGAAGCAATTCCCAAACCTAGGAACTACATGCACAAGAATCAAAGGCAAGAATCTGAAGACAAAACAAGAAAAAAACAAAAAGATGAACATGATTCAGAACCAAGAAGGATTCAGAGTCAAAAACAACAATCAAGACTTAGACCAAAACAAAAGTGTGACAGGAACAGTGCTAAAAACATTCTAGTAGCATAGTGATAAAGCTTCATTGAAAAACAAGAAATCGATTCATGGTATCTAAAAGTGTGAGAAAAACACAGTACAAATATTCAGTGGCAACATAGGCAACATGACAACAGTACAAGGAATAAACGCAAAGTAACTCAAAAACACAAGAACTTATTTACAAATGACTAAATATGGCAGTCGAAATGAGAAATTTAAGCAGCAAGATGCATACAAACGGATTCATGAAAGTATTACGCATGCAAAATAGTGAAAAATTGAACCAAAAGAAGAAGAAAACAAAAATTTTCCAGATGGGGCCAAGAGCGAGATCACCGGAGTCGAAGAACTTAAACGGAACGGGGTAGTTAAAAGCTCACTGGAGAAGACGAATGAAACGGTTGCAGAGATTTGAGTACACAGTAATGGCTGATTGAGAGCGGAAGTTTAGAGAGAGAAAATTTGCAAAACAAGGGAAATTGCTTTTTGCAAAAGTGAAGAGACGCAGAGAAAGAGAGAAATTTTGTCAAAATTATGAAAAGGTGGTAAACCACAATTATGTGCCTTGGACGACGTGTTTATCAAGCGGTGTGCGCAAAAGTGACGCGTCCTGATAGCGCGTGTCAGGTACGAACCAATGTGAAAAGAACGTGTGGCAGAAACTGTTGGGAAAACCATGCGTGACAACTCATGAGCAGATAAACTGTTGGAGTTCTTGATTTAATGAAGCAAAAACCTTAGCTAAAAGAACGATCTCAGTTAAGATACTTAAAGAACTTGGTTCATGTTCTTGATCCATGATAAAAATGGACAGTAGAGTCCTGGGTACGCGAAGCCGACGAGTAATGATCTCGACCGTAGAGGGAAAGATCACTTTGACCGACAAGACAATGTAGGTTTCATCACCTCAGATTGCCGAGGTAATAGAACCTAGGGGGTAGTTGTGGATATATTTTGTGAATGACAACACGTGGCCGAGGCGACGCCGACGTGTCAGCTAAAGTGCCACGTGGCTTGATCATGTGCAAGATGATCTCGACTAGACCGATGTTATCTTTGGAGATATCGGAATCCGAGATGAGTGGATAAGGGACATGAAGAGTCCTAGAATGGGGGAGGATCTCAGTCTGGGTAAAGATAAAGCTCTTAGGGAGTTTATATCTATCTAGCTGAGAGTCCAAGATGAACATTGAGCCAAAGTCCATTGAAGTTAGGCTTCTACAAGGATCAGGTTAGTGCTGACTATAAAAACATGGCACCCTCGTGGGTCTAAGGTATGCTTTTTATGATATGTCTAGTGAATTAAGCACTATTAGCTATCTTTGAGAGATAATTACTGACTTGATCGTCGGATTGCCCCTAGGTGGACGAACCACCGCTGAATTCTTATCTTTCTGTAAGTAGTTGTTCGAGCTTAATCTATTCCGCCGGTGCTCTCCTGCTGGGTTTTCCTATTTAGTTGTGTGGTCAAAAATCAACACTCACTGTATTTTATAATCTTTTCATTTTTAATTAAAATGTCAACAATTGTACTTTATAATTACAAGTATTCTACTGTTACATTATTTTGAATACACTTTATGCATACATATAAATTATGTTTGTAAATCAATTTTCTAACTGCAACTCTAAGCTCTAATTGGATAAGTGGTTATTTATATACACTATAAAAAATTAAGATTTTAGAGACTAAAATTTAGGGATAAAATTATTTTTTAGGGACCAAATATTTTTGTTACAAAAAGTCTAGCTATTTTATTTTTAGGAACAAAAATTAGACATTAGTGATGAATTATTATCCTCTTGGAGCCAAATTTTTTGTCTGAAAAAATAAACTATTTTGAAACCAAATTATTTTGTCTCTAAAAATCTATTTATTAGTAACATTTTTAAAATTTTGTCGCTAAAAGCCTTGTTTTGCACTTTTCGGAACAATCTTTTAGTAATCCTCATGATGATAGAAATTGGTCCCTAAATGTCTTTTATAACAAAATTTTTACTTCTAAAGACCAAAACATTTGATCTCTAAAAGTCTTATTTGTTATAGTGATAACACTTAACCCTTTTTTTTTTATCAGAAATTCTTTACTTGTATAAATAATAACAAAAATGATCTTGTCAGGTCTCTTACACTGAAATGTATATTTTATCTCATTTATCTTTGTGTCTTCATATCATATTCATTAATTTTAGTTTTTTTAAATTTATTAAACGAGAGGTCATTATAATTATATCAAAACTACATAACTTAGTGACACTTAGGAAAGTAAATTAAAAGCTAATTTTTTTGACTTTTTTTGATTTTTTTCTAAAAAAAAGTATAAAAAATAGACAAATGATGTAATTAAAAAGTCAAAAAATTAAAAAATTGACTTTTTAATAAATTTACCAAAATAAGCCAAAAAGTATTTTTTCCAAACATTAAAGAAGGTCAGTCTAATTTACCATATTATTTTTTAACACGTTTGATGATTCTAGAAGTTCTAGTTCTCGTTTAACACTTCAAAGTAAGGCCGCGCATCCAAAGTTCATCGTTCTAACCTTCTTTTATTGAGCAAATTACAGCAGTGGTCTTATATTTTATTTCTTATATTATTTTAGTGTTTATATTTTTATTTAACTCAATTTTAATTTTTAATTTTAGATTTTATGTTAATTTGGTTTGATTGATAATATAATTAGTGTTTTTTTAAATGAATTATCACTAAATTAGTTGAGATTAAATCATTAAGTTGAGTAAGTTTATAATTTTTTCCACAAAAAAAATGACATGAAATTTTTGTGCGTATTTTCTATATAAAAAAAGAAAATACTAAGAGTTGTAATTAATTTGAGCAAATTAAAACAAAATTATAAATTTAGGATTAAAATCGAGCAAAATGAAATTATAATGACTAAAATGATATAACCAAAGTATAAGAATCACCCTTTTAATTTGACCTTTTTTATTGTTTAGATAGTTTGATATTGTTTATAGTTTATTAAGTTGAAATAATTTAAATAAATTTATATATAATAAATCCATTGCACTAATGGTTGGTGTCATACCAAATACACTGACTTAGTAAAACCAAGGCCCACTTGTTTTTGTTTTTTATGTTTTGTTTTGTTTTTTTTTTTTTTTGTTTTGAATTGGTTTGTCAACGACGGCCGAATTCGATGACCATGAACCTTGTATTCTTCGTCTACCATATCTACATTTTCAGATTTGTCCACAAAGCTGAGCTTCCAGCTCCACTTTCTAGTTTCTTATACATTGGAAATGTTATAAATGTTAAAAAAGGAAAGAAGCATTGGAAAATACACATATAGCTTTCCAGGCTATTCTTCATATCTTCCACCTCCATTTTCTCACAGGTACTCTCTCTCTCTCTCTCTCTCTCTCTCTCTCTCTCTAGTAAAATTATTGGGTATATAATGGTATTATGGTGACACAATGTGATGGCTTAGTGAATGAAGCTTTTCCTTACTAAAGCATATGTAGTTTGAGTTTTATTGCTATGTGTGCAGCTTCTGTTCTTCTATTTTCTTCCTACTGATTGTAGAACGAAATTTAAAAAATGAGAAAACATAGTTGATCAAATTTATAGTTTTTATTGACTGGTAGTACTGCGGAGGCTCGTGTAATTGCACGGACTCAGTTTTTTATTGACCAATAACGTTAGATAAGATTGTGTAATTGTTACACAATTTATTTCTCATACATAGTGGAAAGAAATAGGGATTAGCTTGTGGACTGGCCAGTGCCACTCGGGGCCGTGAGGTCCACTATAGGTTTTGTCTTGATAATCTGAACCGTTTATATTTTAAATCATAATGTGTAAATCATCATGAAAGAAATCAAGTGAATCTGATAACTGTAGCTATGAAAACTAGACCATTCATTTTTTGGAAGATAAACATAATAGGCTAACGTTGCTATGGCTAGTGGATCGGCCTGATTTTTTTCATAGATGATTTACATGTTATGGTCTAAAAAATTAACAGTTTAAATTATCAAAACGGATCCTACGATGGGCTTCATGAGCTTGAATAACACGGTGCAGTGCACTTTGTAGACTAAAGACAACCTGCTGCAAAAGAAATATGAGTTAGACTATTCTCTCTGGACACGAAACCGGTTATCTCTAAAGTTTTTCATCCTTCAATATCAACCATTTCTGATTTTGAATTTTTAAAAGTAATTTTTTAATTTTTATTTTCCATGTTTTGTGTAAATTTGTTTTTTTTTTTTTTGTATTTTAATACTTTCTTATTTTTTAGATAAACATAATCTAGATGCACTCAAAAACTAAAATGCATGTGAATTTTTTTAAAATAATTTAGTAAATGCAAAAAAAATTATTAAAATGTATTGAATTTTTACATTTATTTTATATATTTTATTTTAAAATATATTTAGATTAAGTAAATTTTTTTTTAAAAAAATTGTGCTTAAAATATTAAAAACTTTACTTATATGGTTGACCCATTTTCAAACGTTGAATTATACTTCAAATTTATGTAGTATTCAAAACTTTTATATAATATAATAAGGGTTATTTCTATGATCATTTTAACTTTCAGAATTATAAAAACGTATGAATGGATTACTTAAATTATTAAGAAGTTTCATTTTACTTCTTAAATTATAAAATCGTATAAATGGATCTCTCAAATTATTGACATGTTTCACTTTAATCCCTTCATTAGATTACTTCTTAAATTATAAAATCGTATAAATGGATCTCTCAAATTATTGACATGTTTCACTTTAATCCCTTCATTAGAGGTCTAATTTGAATGTTTTTTATAATTTAGGAAATTCATTGGTACGTTTTTATAGTTAAAAGAGCAAAATAATACTTATAAAAAAAAAAAGAAGAATTTATTTGTATGCTTTTATAATTTATGATCAAAATAATACTTCTCAATAATTTAGGGTCTTAGGGTCTTCGTGTGAATAACCCATATAATAATTGATGATGTATTTTGGAAAGTTATTCAATAGGTCAAGTACACCATGTCATCATGCTAATGTAGTGTATTCAACTAATGAAGTTTTAAAGAACGTGGTAGGCTTAATTTTTTTATTTATTTTTTTTTTTTTAACATACGAATGTGGTAGTTATTGACAAAATTTCTAAAATTATTCCGGCCTTATCTGGGAATCAACTATTTTAGTATTTTTTTTGATTTTTTTTTAGCTAAAATAGAAAGTTAAAAAATTTAGTATATTTAGGATGATTTTTTAATTTTTTATAAATATATATATATATATATATATATATAAAATAGAAAACTAAACATAAAAAGAATGAGCAGAAAGAAATTTTTGATTTTTTAATATTTATTAATTTTTGACATTTCTAATAACTTATTAACTTTTAAATTAAAATCTTAACATGCAAAATGAGATCTCCATATATTATAGTTTTTTTTTTTCCATTTATAATTAAGGTTTCAAACGACTCGAGGCGAGCTGAGTTTTAATATGTTTGGACTTATTTATTAAAATTTTAACGAATTCAAGCTCGAGCTCAATAAAAATTTAACAAACCGAATTCGAGTTGGCTTAGGCTTGACTCGAGCTCAAACTTGTTCACAACCAGCCTTAACGAGTTAAAAAATTTATAAATTCATACTTGCATATGAGACTCAAGTTACAATTAAAATTTTAATTATACAATATATATATATAAACATACTAAACAAAAAGTCGATATTTTATTACCAAAATAATAATATCTACCACCACTATTATATAAATGTACTATTTATAGTTAACTATTATTCACATTTATATTTTTTAAATATATAAATAATATATTTATCTTATTTTTTATACATATTTTTATATTATTTAATATATAAATAATAAATATTAAATAAACCAACTAACTAGTTGAGCTCTAAAATATTTGAACTTATTTATTAAAAATTTAACGAGCTCAACCTTAAGCTCGAATGCAAAAACAACATAACAAACTTAATTTGAATGAATTTTTATTGAGCTCAACTCCAGTCTGTTCATGAATCATTCTATTCACTTACAGCCTTATATGTACCTAACATGAAATTCCAAACTCAGAAAATAACTTCTCGTGTATTGTGACAGGAGAGATACTCTCTCTCTCTCTCTATATATATATATATATATACACATATATATGTTGGAGTGGTCCTAAATAAAATTGGACTAATTGCACATAACTGTCCACGAACCAAACACCACCACTTTGCGAAGGGTGTCGATTTATGATATAAACTATTGTGTATATCATAAATTAATAAAATTTTGTCAATTTAATAATTATTAATGATAAAGTTAATATTTAAACTTAAGAAAAGCTCCATCCAATTAAACATTTATTGTTATAGTTTTAAATTTTAAATTGGTTGTATTTATTATTATTATTTGATATGTTAATTTTTTATTATATTTTATTTACTCCTTCACGAGAATAAATACAGTAAGGGTGGTTATGGTTCGATTTTAGATAGTTTGCGGATTGGTTTGGACTCGCTCGTATGTATGTGGTTTGGAAAAAATTCAACCCGCATCTGCCTGTAGTGCCGGTTGCGGTTTGTGCGGATAGAGTTCACGGATATGCGGCCGATTTACGAATTGGATTTTTTTCTTTAAAAATTTATTTTGAAGCCTTTTTTTTCTCATTTTCTAAATATTTATTTTGGGCCGTTTTCCCCTATTTTCTAAAATGCTCCAACATTAATAATTAATGAATTAAAACTTATAAAATCAAAAACACAATAATATCAATTCCTGATATAAACAAATCATTTAAAATCCTAAACTTTTAAATCAGATCATAAACTAACACAAGCACATCTTTTAAAATAGTGAGAACATAATTGAGCAGGAAACTAAAAATATTCTCTCTTTCTCTTTCTAAAAGCCTCCTCCCCGGGCCTCTCTTTGGGCCGGCCGGCTGCCGCCGCCTTAGGCTATGGCGGTCGGCTGGGCTAGCTTTCTCTGTGTTTGTTTGTTGTCTTCCCGTTAATAAACTTGAGTCGCCCATTATTTTCCCACCTAGGTGTGTTTGGTGTGCTGCGGTGAGTGTTTGGTGTGCTGCGGTGTTTTTGTTGGTGCTTCCGGGCCGTTTTAGCTGATCTTTTGAGGGTATTGGTGTGGTGTTTTCAGTAGGGGTCGTCCAGGAACTTCACTCGTGCGCTCTCTTGCGAGTTGGAGCTTGAGGGGTGAACTCTGGTTCAGATTTTTGGAGAAGATTCGATGCTTGGTTTGGGCGGAAACTTGGGTGTCGGAGTTGATCCATCTCTGTCTGGTTTTCATTCGAGCGCTCCTCTTCGTGGGAGAGTTTGAGGGGTGTTAAGAGAAGAACTGGAGAAGGAAGTTGTTCTGCTGGTTGGTCGGTGTTTGGATTCCCAGTGGTTGGTGTCCCAGCGGTTTGGCAGTGAGCAAGAAGAACGATTGGGAGATGTTCTATGGGTGAGGTAATGTTGGGAGTTAATGTGGTGTTGATCTACAATGTTTGGAGCTGCAATGTGGGTGATGATCGGCAATGTTGGAGCTACAATGTTGGAGCTGAATGTCAAGGTCCAGCAGGGGAGTTTGCCGGTGGTGACTGGGGATTAGCAGCTTATGTGTGGTTGGCCAGTCAAGCAGCAGCTCTGGCGGTGTGGGCTTTGGGAGTTGGGAGTTGGCAACTGCATAGGGGTGGCGTGAGCAGTAGGCGTGGGCTGCAGCATAGGGTGGTGCGGGCAGCGTAGGTGTGGGGCGTGGGCAGCTTCAGAGGTGTGGTCTTGGCAGAGTGGGTGGTGATTTGACTTTAGTTTGGGTGGTTCGGCAGCTTGGGAGTTGGGCTAGTTAGTTGAGTTTAGTTTGTTTTGGGTGTTTTGGTGGGTTGATTATGTAGGGATTCATGTCTTTATTTTCTAGTTAAGTCCTTCTTAACTTTTTTTATGTATTTATTTTAAGAAAAAAATCGAGAGGCTAAGGGGTTGGTTGTATGGATGTGAGTAGCAATAGTAGGGGTATTTTGTACTTTCCGAATCTCTCTCGATGCATGTCATCTTCCTATACTTTTCATGCTGTTAAATGAAATTTTTCTTTGCTAATAAAAAAAAAAACACAAGCACATCTTTTAAAATCCTAAATTAGATCATCAATCTCATTCACTATCTACTAACCAACAATACAATTTAAGTAAAATCATTCGAAATCTTAAGCTTACCTAAAAGTAATTATTCATTAACTTTTACATTCATCCAAAATGCAATAATAAAATAATAACGGTCTAGGTTTTTTTTTTTTTTTTAAAAAAAAGTTTAAGTGCCGGCAGATTCTTGCGGGTGTGGGTTAAACTCGCAACCCGTAATCATGCCATATTCCAAACTACGTCCGCCAGCATTGTATCTGCAAAATTGTCCATCTGTATGCGGATTGGTTCGGGTTGAGCAGATTGTGCGGTTCGAATAACCTTATACCCAGCTCTAACAGTAAGTGCTATTAATATCTCATTATTGTTTGTGTGTTATATTAGAGAAATTATTCAATACTCTTTGAACTAAACAAAGTGATGCTCTAAAAGTACTCGCAGTAGTTTTGTATTAAAGCTTAAAGAAATAAACTAGTAAATATTAATTGTAAATAAAATAAAATATTACTCCAAGAGTATTGATTTATTTCTCATCACATTATATGATAGATAAAATATAATAATTGTAGCATTTTTTTATATTAAAAAAATTCACATTAGAAATGGATCAAAATTCAAGATAAAATATTGTTAGCACAGTATATGGCTTAATAGAATTGGAAGGGAACATCACAGCAAATATAGACTGTACTTCCTAGATAATTTTTCTTGTTGCGTAAAAAATGTATCTTTATTTTTAAAAATTATTTTAAAGAAAATATCATATAGAAAAAGGATAATATTAAACATTGGGAATTTGTATGTATATTTAAAATGGAATTATGAAATGGTCAATTTTCTTATCTTCTATTTACTCTTTTAGAGTCAAAAAGAAAGTTTCAATATTTAGGTTTTTATTATCAAAATATTTCATCAAATCACATTTGTATTTAGTGTTATATTTTTAATTATATTTATTATTTATTTTTTTTAGATACAAATGTGATTTGATAAAAAGGTTACTGATATTCGATCAACGTAATTTTTCACAGGTATGTTCTACTCGATATCTTCTAAAATATGAACAATTTAAATTATCGAATTGAAACTTGTAATAGACCAATAAAATGCACAACAGTTGCAACCCCAAACCCAAATAGGTCGTCACTATCAATTACAAAATATCATTCAAATTTGATATATGAGTCATTATTTTTCATGATGGCTGTTATTTCAATATCTCTGCATCTAATATTTTTGATAGGGCAAATGTTACCATTAGTTACTGTACTTTGGCCCGTATGGAAATTTAGTTACTGTAATTTTAATTTGCTTTATTTTAATCATAATTTTTTATTTTGTCTCAAATTGATTCATTTAATTCTAATTGTTAGCATTTTTTTTTTTAATAACAAATGCACATGAATGTATCATGCTTATAGATGTAAAATTGTAAGCTTGATTGATATAGTGGTTTAACCTCAACAAATTCAGTAATAATTTTTCTTTAAAAACCTTAATGGTATTATCAATTAGATCAAATTGACACAACCAAGAGGCTCTAGCCTACTGGTCTAATTCTTTAACCACCAAGTCTCTTTTAAGGGAGGAGTCTTGGGTTCTATTCATAGGAGTAGAATGAGAGGGATATATTTTCTTGCAAGATGTATAGGTATGAGTTTCAACAATCCTGAAATTCTAATCTAACAACTAACCACTAACTTACGTTATTTTTGTTTTTGAGTATTTATGTATATTTAAGTATCTTATTTTTATTCAATTTTTATTTTTCAGTCATTTAAGTATTTTATCTCAGTAAAATAACAAAATTAGAGTATTTGAAATGTCCTCCACAACATTGAGCACACCTTACAAATATAAATTGCACACCTTGCAATTATTTGTATGTCCTATTGGTATACAAAACCTTTTCATATGACTTTTTTTTTTGACATGCATCGAGAGAGATTCGGAAGTATAAAAATACCCCTACTACTCCTACTCGCATCCATACAACCAACCCCTAAGCCTCTCTATTTTTTTTTTTTTAAAAGAGAAATAAAAAAAAAAAAAAAAAAAAAAAAAAACATGAATCTCCAACAAAATCAACCCACCAAAAAAGAACCAAACTAGACTAACTAAACCAACTTCCAAGGCAGCCCGAACTAAAAACCCAATTAATCAGCCACCCAATATTTTAATCACCTACATCACTTCCAAAGCTGCTGTACACCACGCCTAAGCTGCCCACGCTGCCCACGCCTATTCTGCTCACACCTAACACCTATGTTGCTCCAACGCCCTCCTGCTGCACTGCACGCCCACCTGCTCACGCTCCTCTACTGTGCACGCACCACTGCTTCAGCCGAGGACCTCGCCATGACTGGACATCACCAGGCTGGGCATCACCACTACATCCTCATTGCCGAGACTCCACTCCTAACAGATACTTACTGCAAACTCATTGCAATCTCACCCACAGCACTCAATGCGAACTCACCCACTCCCGACAGAAACTCCACACCCAGCCACCCCTAAGATGCTGCAACTCCACCGGCTGAGTAGACCCCAAACCACCACCGGGAAGCCCGATGCTGCTCCACCTTCAGTCTCCTTAACTCACACCCACCGAACTCCACACACCCACCGAATACCGAATCTTCTTAACTCACACCCAGTACCCACGCCAGAGCCTCTGCTGCAGTCCACACCCATGCTGCTGCCAAAACTCCATAGCCAACAGGGCTTCCGCCAAACTCCACCCACCCACCGAACACCGACCACCCGCTGGGACACCTCCATACAAATGATAGAATTTCACCCCTCAAACTCTCACTCGAGAAGGAGCGCTCGAGTGAAAACCGGAAAGAAGACACCCCTCAAACTCCTACTCGCCAAAAGCGCTCGAATGAAATTCATGAACGTCACCCGCAGCAACAAAAACACACCTAGATCGGAAAAAGGGAGATTCAAGTTTATTGAAAGAAAAAAAACGAGGTTATTGAAAGAAAAAAACTAAAGAAGGCAGCCACGGAAACGAGCTAGGCCAGCCGACTGCCATAGCCAAAGGGGGCGGCCGGCCAGCCCAAAGAGAGGCCGGGGAAGGAGGTTTTTAGAGAGAGAAAGAGGGATGCAAGGTTTTTAGAGAGTTGAAGTAACATTGAGCACACCTTACAAATATAAATTGCACACCTTGCAATTATTTGTATGTCCTATTGGTATACAAAACCTTTTCATATGACTTTTTTTTTGTTTTTAATCAACAAAATCTCCTTATATAAGTTGTTTAGAAGATTAAGTCATTTTTTCAAAATTTTAAATATTTTTACCTTATTTATATGCAAGCACAAATCTAGAGGGAATCAGTTAACATACTTATATGACAACTGTTATTTTTTTATGTTTCAAATTTTAAAATTTCACAATTTTTTATGTATATATTTGTTTTGGTAAAATTTATAATTTTGAAAATTACTCGACGAAATCTATCAAACAAAATCTCAATTGAATATAAAATTATGTAAAATTAAAAGGAAAAAAACAGCATAAAACTTAACACTTTTTTAGATTTGAAAGTGACTTTTGAAATTTCACATATTTTAGAAATATTTTTACAATTCCATGTACTTTCTGAAATGAAAATTTTAGAATTTGTAACTGTGTGAAATTTCACATATTTTGAAATGTGAAAAAATAAAATAAATAACAATAATAAATTTCACAATACTATATTAAGGCCTTGGTTGGAAACAGTCTATTTTAATAACTTTTTGATTTTTTGACTAAAATATGAGGTAAAAAAAATAAATTTGTTTGAAATGATTTTTTGATTTTTTAAGAAAAAATGTGCAAAAAGTAGAGAGAAATGAAATCTTTAACTTTTTGATATAAGCTATTAGCTTTTAAATTTTTTAATGATTTTTTAACTTTTAAGCTAAAATATTGAGTTGTCCGATGATGCCTAAGCGTGAATATTCACACTATGAATACAAATAATGTGATTTTTTTAAAGGTGCAAATATTCACACTTTTAATGCATAAGAAAAATGTGAATGCTTGGAAATTTTGATTTTGCCTTTTTTTTTTTTTTTTTGAAAAGTGTGAATATTCACACCAACTTTTACACTTTCTAAAAATTCATAATATTCTATTTATTGAAAATATGGATATTCACGTTCAAAATTATTATAGTTTTACAAAAAAATCACACTAAAGAGATTCACATTATTATCTAACTATGGTGATTTTTTCCGAAATAAAAAAATAAATTGCAATAAAAAATAAATCATATTGTAGAAGATAAATTTGATTAGATTCTCTAACAAAATCTTCGCCTACAATCAAGCTGCAAATTGAATTAGGATTACATTGCCAGATGAAGAATCTATTACAAAGGAATTTTTTTGGTTCTTTTGACATCTATGGGACTAAATAGAATTATGAATTATGAATAAGACCAAATAGGATGCAAATTCTAGTGTTATGAGATTTATGAATAAAATCTTCCTAAAAGGCTCATTAACGTAATTTATATTTTGAAAAAGTCATGACACATTATTTCAACATAAAATTTTATGTTTGTGGATCAATTTTCCAGTTTAGAATATACTCCATTAATATTATGGCTTACATGATACTTTGCCAATTTTTTCATAGCTCAACACTTGCTTGAAAACTTTAATAAGTTCGAATTATAGGAATTTTGAGAGTATGTAAATGTGATTTTCGGTCTTTATAACATTTGAAACAAATTCAAACAAGAAAATGATTTTGATTATCTATTCCAGCAAAAGTTATATTCCTAAACCAAGTAAGAACCTAATTTTTCCACTTACCATAGGAATCCTGTATTTTTTAAGAAATGTTATCCATTTAAGAGTAAATAATAGGGAAAATTAGTCTAGGGTCCCTCTCTCACTTTTCGTAATGGAAGAGATCCACAAAATTATTTTTTGATATCTAAGGTCCCTAAACATATCACAGAGAAATTTGATCTTACCAAATCAAAACTCATCTCTCTCTCTCTCTCTCTCTCTAAACTTCTCCATTCTCTCTCAAACCTGTCTAGATCAACTCTCTCTCCTCCTCCAATCGACTCTCCATTGTAGCGTTCGCTGCAAGCTCGAAAAGGCTGTTGCCGCTGAGGAGAATGACGACGAACGGCTGACTAACGGCCCACCGCCGCCGCATTGCCGCCGTTCTCGCCGTAACTCAGTTCCGGCGCCACCGGTGACACACCTCCTCTGTCTTCGGAAACCTCCGTCATCTCGGATCTACCACTATCGCACTGCTTTGTTTTGGTAAGAACAACTTCATGCAATCTCTATTCATGTTCTTCCTTTAAATTTCGTATTTGTCGCATGCACTCCTTTAAAGCACCATCTAAATGCGAAGCTCGATCTTTAACAGTAAGCTTCAAAAGTGTGATAGATTCTAGATGATTTTTCAGTGCCAAAGCTTCTGCCTCAGCCTTTTCCAAACCTACAGCCTCCTAGTCCACACCCATCCTAATTGCCTGAATTTTCCTTTGACAGCATACAAAAACTCCATAAAGAGAATGAGTTTCTTACAAAACGTTTTGATCAGGCCTCTGAAATTTCTCTGGGTTGGTCGAGAGAAATTCTCTGGTTTGAACTGAAATTTCTCTGAGGTGGTCCAGAGAATTTCTTTGATTTGGATTGAAAATTTCTCTGGATTGGTCCCTGATATTAAGATTTTTCAGCATAGAGTTTGTCATTTATCTTATTTCCATCGTCAACCTCTATGTCATGTTGCATCTCCAAACCAGCCCCTGATGTTGAATCACAAGCTTTGCCCTTCATAACCATTTCCTTTCCAGAATTGTCATGAATCTATTCTCAACATTTTCAACTCAGAGAATTTCTCTGGACTAATTTTCTTTGGACCAATTTTCTCTAGATCAACTTGAGGGACCTTAGACATTATGAAAATATTAGATGTCATTTATGTTATAAAATCTTAATACGAGGGACCTTTAAAAAAAATCCAAAAATAATAATAACAATAATCAAAACCATAATATTGAAAATTTAAACATTTTTGCATAGATATTTTATAACAAAACCAAAAGCTCAAATAAAATTGACATAAAAAATTAATTATTAATAATGAGATTTTCATTATTTCAAAATTCCCATATCATGCAGTATTTGAAAAGAAATCAATTGACAAAAAAAGTGCTTAATGAAAACTTACAACTTAGAGTTGCCAAGTCCATCTTTGACCATCTTCCTTAGGTGAAAAACTTGGTTATAACATATATATATATATATATATATATCTCACCTTCTTGAGTGTTTGGTATCAAAGTCTCCCCAATTCCTAGGAAGATCAGAACTTCCAAACTGCTCAGAAAATCTCAAAACCTCTGATTGTTGCCCCTCTTGTTCTGATGTTGTTAAAGATGTAACCGAAGACGAAGAACTTAAAGACTGAGAAACAAATGTTCCTCCAGGATACAACAGACCTGACACGTTGCTGTAATTCACATCATTACTCTCTTTACCAAGAAGTTGTGCATAGTGAAAAACATTAGGGTAAGGTTCTTCAGATAGAAGAGGCCGAGGACGACGAGGGGGAGGGGGACGAACCGAGTTGGATACTCTCTTAGTGACAACTCGTGAGTTTTGGCGAGTTGTTGTGAGGCTACCCAGCTCGATTCTCCCTTGAACCCTTTCAGGGAAGTTGAGCTTAGCTTTGTTTCCTTTGAATCTAAGAGCAGCTTCATCATAAGCAAGTGCTGCACCCTCAGCTGTGTCGAAGGTGCCAAGCCAGACCCGGGCAGCCTTGATGGGATCTCTGATTTCGGCCGCCCATTTGCCCCATGGTCTTTGCCTAACTCCTCTGTAGTGTCTTCTCTTCTGATTCCCTTCACATATGTGAGTTCGATGATTTGAAGTTAGAATGTTAGTTAAATATGAATGCATGATATGTAGTTAAGTTATTGCTATGCTTTATGCTAGCTCTTGAAACATATGTTGTACTAAAGTGGGAAAGCATGACCAATATCATGATTTTAAATATTGACGGATAAGTGTTTGGACTTGTAGATATCAATAAGTGGGAATGAAAATCACATGTATGTTGGCCAGTTCTTGATACACATTGGTTTATAGTACCTGATTTATAGTCAATGGTGGCAAATGCATGACTATAATTTTTTTTTTCCCTGGATGATGATTGTAAAAAAATTCATAATCGTATTACTTGACTCTTGAAATGTATCGCTTGAAACACTCGATACATATACACCATGGCATATGCCAATTTGTCTCCTAATGCCGCTAATAAAAATCTTGGTCAATTGTTACAACCATGATTCCTAGATTACTAAACTAGAAAAGAAATCAAGTAGATAAATTATCATGGATTATACAGGAAGCACCATTGGAAGTGGGAAAATTACTATAAGACAAGAGGAAAGCGATATTGAATGAAAGGTGTGCCAGCAGAAGCTACGTATGTATAACAGAAAAATTAAAAGTGATTATGAGTAAGAAATAATGGGAAAGCTCCCAAGAGGCTAGGACGGCTAACAACTAAGCAAGTAGTCAAGCTTTCATACTAATAATAAAAGGCAAAGAGAGGAAGTAAAGCTACGGCTAGTCCTACCGCCATTTGTTATATCTTGTTCCCACCTAGTTCTATTGCGCTCTTTGCTGATGGTGTTCTAGGTCGCTAGACCTTATTCTAACTACAAAAAAAATTAAGGTTTTAGCGATTAAAATTTAAAGATAAAATTATTTTTTAGAAATCAAATATTTTTATTGCAAAAAGTGTCGTCATTATATTTTTAGTAACAAAAATTAGACATTAATGATGAATTATTATCTTTTTGGAACCAATTTTTTGTCTCAAAAAATAAATCATTTTGAGACCAAATTATTTTGTCCTTAAAAGTCTATTTATTAGTGACATTTTCAAAATTTTGTCGCTAAAAGCCTTGTTTTAGACTTTTCGGGACGGCCTTTTAACGTTTATCTTCATGACGATAGAAATTGGTCCCTAAATGTCTTTTACAACAAAATTTTCACTTTTAATGACCAAAGCCTTTGGTCTCTAAAACTTTTATTTGTTATGATGTCTCTTTGATATGCCCTCCAAGCACAAGTTTATCATGGATCTTGGAGCCCTTTAGATATACTTACTATATTTCCCTTATCATCAACTATTATATCTTGAGTCACATCACTATTTTTTACATTCATTATTATATTTCGTAAAGTATCAGAAAATTCTGCTAGATCCATAACAACTGATCATCTCCGATCAACTTCTTCTTTTCTAACACCAACCTCCGAAATCAACGGATCAGGATCAACATCACTAGCACTATCACCACCTCTACATACATCAATCTCAAACAAAGTCAAACGACCTCTGCGTTCATAAATAACTGAACCACTTTTTCCAAAACCTCCTAACAACAAATCTCTTCGACTCTCCGATAAACCCACAGACATAGTCCGAGTCAGGATTGGAATGGCTTTGGTTGGAGCACAGTGCTAAGCATCAACATTATCATTAGCATATTTTTTAGATAACACAACAATAGATGGAGCCCTCGTCTGCGAATCTTTTGGCATGTCACTCATAGAATACTTCAAATACCCCTTCATTTTACAATACATAATCTCCTTTTTAATATTAGAATTTTCAACGCGATATTTCACCATCCATGGCACCTGTTTGTTGTTAATGAAACAATAACCATTCCCATAATACACTAATTCACACTGGCAATCCACGGGAAAAATAAAGAATGCTTGCAAACTGTCATTATTATCTAGCCTCCTGTCATACACATTTGCTCTAACCAACCCATTGGCATTGGGTGTGCAAATGGGGGAATATTTTATCAATATTTTATCAACTTTAATGCTCCTTTGTTTATATCTCAATCTCAACTGAGACAATAAATTAGGCAATGCAAATTCAATACAACTGAAATCACTTGCTGAAACACTTTCAACAACACCAGTTTTTATATCGACCATCTCCATTCACCTGAACATTACAAATAAAAATACATAAATTTATAATTCTAAATAGTTTTAAAGTACATTTGACTCTTTAATGTAATTTTGCATTCTTTTTCACTAACAGTAGCAGCCATTAAATATATGGTATCCTTCTGAATACTTCCAACATTTCCCAACAACATATTTTTGTAATCCATCCGAACATAACTGGAAAGAACCGGTCCACAACTTATATCCCGTGACGAACGTACTCTTTGTCCTTGCCACCAACAAACTAGAATCTCATTTTCTTTAGCATCCAAAACCTATCGGACTGGTCATGATCAACAATCCAGGTTTCAGAATTACCCTCGCTAACTCCAATAAATATCTTGCCAGGTGTGGAGACGAAATCTGACGGACTATTATCATTTATGATGAAAAACAATATGTGGTGGGCCACAACTCCATCTTTAGCATCTTGTCCTAATTGAACATTCCCAATTAATTTTATATCCTTAACCACGATCTTATTTGATTGACGATCACATCTTTTATTACCCAACTCAATACCATTCAGCAACCTCGCCACACATTTATCATCAAATCTAACATCCCTTAATTGTTCATCGTACAATTGTAACTTCTTTACTCTCCCCTTAATCTTTTTAATATATTAGGGGATATTCTATACGTACAGTTTGCATACATACGCCGCCTTAAAAAGGGGGCACAGCAAAATGTCTTCCAAAAAGTGTCAAAGGCCTCAAACTCATTCGGAGTTTGATAAAAGAATTTTTTTTTTTTTTTTTAAATCACGATAGGAATGCATCCAGAAAACCGTCATTCCATGTAAGTTGTCGTGGTATGAATTTTGTCAATAGATTGTTAGCTAAATTTTTTTTAGCAACAAAATAATATTATATTGATGAATTAAATGATACAAGTAATACAATAAAATTACATCAATAAACAAGACCTAGGACAACAAAATTGGCATGATGACATAGGCACCAAACCAATCAAATGTGAATCCTAGGCAAACAAGGCTGGCTAACTTCTCTTCCTATTTTTTTTTTTTTTGAACTGCAAAAAACTTTATTAATGTAAAAAGCAAAACATGCATAAATTATATCAACAAAGCGGGAGAGTGCATCAAGCATCATAGCTAACCTTAACAATTCCAACTAGGTTGGCACCAAGTTAGGTTTGTTAAGCATTCTTTCCTTCTAGACCAAACTCATTTTTCACAAAGGGTTTTAACGAAGAGATAAGATTAAACAAAGATTTCACATAGTTATATTGGCCAGTAAAATTTGGAAATACTTTAATTAGTAACAATTTCATTATTTGATGATAATGAAAGCATGAGTAACAAGTACAACATGAGTAAATCAAAGAGCCAAACTATATCAAGAATAAATTTAAATAAAATAAAAAAACAGTTAGGTTACCATTTTAGGGCTTGCAAGAGAGAGAGTGAGAGCTAGTCAGTCAAGTCAACACTAAGGTTTAAGGCTGTCAAAACAAGATGACTTTTGATCCAAAAAAGATCAAACCAAAATTCTTACAAATTTTACCAAAACAAACATTCTTAAAAAAAGGAGGTCATAAACATGAACATATATAATATAATTAATGATATTTTATGCATGTTATACCTTGATCTTGACCGGGTTGAGATTGATTCAACTCTGGTGTGCCGGATTGGGACAAAACTAATGGATTTGAATGCAAAAGAACTGGGTTTTGGTCACTGTTTGCAATGACTTGAGTCAGAGCTGAAACCATGGCGGTCATATCGTGTTGGGATCGAGCTGAGAAGATAGGGAAGATGTGTTCTTCTTCTTCTCCTTCTTCTTCTTCTTCCTCTTTCTTCTCCGATTCATCGGATGGAATGGGCCTCTTTCCGTGTCGATCCACTTTATAAACTTTTTCTGCTACTCTGGGATAGAGTTTTGTTTTGTTAATTCATGCAGAGGATTGCTAATCTTTGTGATTGTTATGGGGTATTTGTAAATGGTAAAGAGACAACTGGTGTGAGTTGTTTTGACGAAGACCAAGAAGAATCAGAAGAAAAGAAAAGAAAAGAGGAAAATGACTGAGAGATTGAATTAGCAAATGAAGAGGTGGGAGAAGGAGTTGAAAGTGGGGGGAAATTAGGGTTAGATACGGGAGGAGGGATGTCACACCTTAAATATTTAATTAGTATCACAATAAATAATAAATAAATAAATAAATAATTAAAAGTAAATAAATAAATAAATTTAATTTCTTAGTCTAATATTAAAAATCTTTGTTAGAAGGGTAGATTGTGAAATATCGTATTTTAAATATTAAATATTTTAATAAGTGGTAAGTGATGTTTTTTAATTAAGCGATGAGATTTTTATACATGAACCTAATCTATAATTATACATAATTTTTACCAAAAGAGGATAAGAAACCTTAAACTCATAATGTAATTTTTCCAGTGCCTCTTAGTGAGGAGTTAGGGTCATAAACTTAAAGGGTAAGAAAATAGCGAGTGACTACCACGTGTACTCCACGTGTGTGCTAATTTTCTTGCATTTG